CCTGACCCTTTCGTTTCTCATATCAGAGCCTTCGATAATTGTATATCGATCAAAATACGAGAGCTCGACCCCATTTTGGTTCTGGTCTGGGCTAAGTTCCAAATTTTCCAAATTTTGAATGTGTCAGGACAATTCTTAAATGATCAGGAATGATGTGTGAAAGTTTCGGACATTTTGGTCTAATACCCTTAAAAAAAAGTGTTGTATTCGAATCGACTGATTTGAAGGATGTTTCACTTCACCTTAAATCCCGACCTAACCCAATCGACCCTCAACCGCTGTCGGTGGGTCAGCGATTCAAGTTTTACAATCAGATTGGCAGATCGAAAAGTACATTACTACTTACGTTTAAAATGAACTAGTTTTATAAATAAATGTTAGATTTCCTTAAGCATTCGAGTTCGTTCTTAATTCCAGACATTCTTTTTCGGCTTTTTACGGTGTTTTTTTTTTTCTTTTTCGATTAAACTCGACTCGCAAAATTAAGCGGGTAGAATATTATTTTCAATGATGTCGACAGAATTTAATAATTAATAGTGTTCAGTTTATTCTCGGTCTTGAATGAGACATAATTATTTAATATAATAGTGAAAAAGGAATTCAGACTTCGGATACGTGGCTGGATATTAGCGACTCGAACACATTTTCTGTTTTAAAGGAATCTGCCACTATATTATTCGGAAACATTTACAGCTTATCAGTTTGCAATCGATCGTATTTCTTCGGGCCTTCATTTTTTAGTGATAGGTGTAGTTAAACATTTCTAACCGAATGTGTGCAGAAAGATCGTTGTGGGTATAAGAAGTACCTAAACTATGTGATCGACGACGACCAACACAAACCAGGTTATTCGCGATGATAAGAAAATTTCTTTCTGTTGCGTAAACAAGTGTGCAGTAAAGAGCAATTTTCTCAAGTGTTACCCTTATTATTAAGCGATTGCACGAGAAGCGACGTCTGAATAAGATACGAGAGGACCGCTGCCAAGTTCTGATATTGTGGAATGTAAGCACGAGTGTGATGTCGATGGAACCACTCAGACAATTTCAAATCGACGCTGTAGCACGTAATCGGAGACATTTTTTACTTTATACAACGCTACGGGGCACGGTTATCATTGCCAGTTTACCTCTTTTTTTTTTTTACGACGCGGTTTTCGCAAGACATGCAATGCCGGATACCGCGCATAATTTTAACACGTTAATTTTCTAGAGAGAATGAGATGGTAAATTTAAATTAATAAAGAAATAACCGGGCAAAAAACATATGAATAAGAAGAAAGTGTATTCCTGGCATACATGTGCTCTACACGGCGATACGTTAAGAGGAAAATATCTCTCTTCTATGATCTCGTGGACCCAAAACTCTACTTTAAGAAACACTCGAGATATGGGGCTGTCTAAAAAATAATTAATAGTATAATAATATTATTAAAACCGGAAGATTTTGTATCGATCTACTTTACTTCAAGTTTCCGTGGTATTTATTGATTAATTGAGTAATCTTAATAAAAAGATTTTCCAATGACAAGGAAAATTTGTACTCGGTGGTAATGTGCAAAATAGTATAATAATATTATAAAACCGGAAGATTTTGTATCGATCTACTTTACTGCAAATTCCCACGGTATTTATTGATTAATTGAGTGATCTTAATAAAAAGATTTTCCAATGACAAGGAAAATTTGTTCTCGGTGGTAATGTGCAAAGTAGTATAATAATATTATAAAACCGGAAGATTTTGTACCGATCTACTTTACTGCAAATTCCCACGGTATTTATTGATTAATTGAGTGATCTTAATGACAAGATTTTTCAATGACAAGGAAAATTTGTACTCGGTGGTAATGTGCATAGTAACATAGTTACTAAAAACATAGTTTATACTAAATTAGATTTTTAGTTAGGCCAAGTTTTTCATTCGCACTTCATTGACACTTAATTAGGACATTTTTAAAGTTGACATTGGACTGGGGCAAAATTCATAGCCTAGATTTGAGAAAAATAGAGCGAATTTTAGAAATGAAATGAAACAACCGCGTTGCACATAGGTGAGCTAAGAGTTTCGTGGGAATGCACTTGCGTGCACGATCGCGGGTAGGTATATTTAGCAGGAAAGGCATTTCGCGACCCACATACTCATCACACTAGGCAGAATGCCACTTATATGGTAGGGTCAGCCGTTGATTAAGAGTATCCAATGGAAGAACGAACAGATCATGCCAACAAATTTCCTCTTTGTCTCATTTGGAATCTCGAGTCTGAATAATTAAAATTAATCACATGAAACAGTGAATCAAAACACGTGACGAAGTAACTTTCAACATTTTCAAAATCCCATCCAAATGAAAAAAATTAAAAATCCACATTAAATCAGAAGTAATAATCAGCAACGATACCGATATAGCGACGAACATGTAACTTTTTGATTCAGGTTTCGGAAATCTAGAGTAAACAATACTACCTCGTGCACTTTAGGGAATCATAAAACACTCTTCCATATGCTAGGTGTCTAAAAATTCGATGAACGCGAGACAACTGATCACGAATAATTACTAAAGAATTGCAGTTTACTTGGGATTATTGGATTTAATATAAAAGCAAAAAATTACCATACAATCGCGATACGGCTTGACAAGAAAGCACCCCTGTAACTCTTACCCACCACTTAAACGCTAAAATTCGTATTAAAATGTGTCGTTAATGTGTTTGCAGTTCGATAAATTCAATTGTCAGAACAATTCCTTAAACATTTATCACGATATCGGCGGACGCGTAGGCAAGGCTCGTTCGCCTGTTTCGCGACGATGTCGGGCGCGCCTTGCTCATTTATCCCGCATCGAGCGCCTTGTCGAGTCGTAATTATAAATCCCAACTAGTTAATGGGAAGTTAATGGAGGTGGACGAGGCGGAGGAGGAAAACTCGGAAGGTCATAGTCATCGAATCGACGGCCGAGCTTCGGAGGAACAAACGGTCGTTCCCGGAACAAACGATAACCAAGGCCGCTGCGAGGAACTCCCCTCTCTGCCCGGCTCTTCACCTGATTCTCTCCACTCCCTTTCTCTCTCGTGTCCATGCACTTTTCGAAGTTGAGTTCGATTCTACGTTTTAGCAAGATCATTAAGGTGATGTGACCGTCGATCAGGTTGTGTTTATAAAACTTTTCTCCCCACTCGGTTTACCGAATGGTTTGAAACGTTACAACGCGAATAGGGAGACTATAAGGAAGATCCTGAAACTCATGAAATTTCAATTCCTTTTAAATTTGTTTGTAGGTATTTTAAAAATAGTTTATAAAAAATGAAATTTCGCGAGTTTCGGGACCTACTTTAGGGTCTCCGTGTTCACGTTTTAAAATATGAAACGATTTGAGACACCCAGTTCGTAGAAAAGTTTTATGAACGATTAAGCTTTCGGATGCTACTTTCACATCCCCTTAAGGTGATGTGACCGTCAATGAGGTTTTGTTCATACAACTTTTCTTCCAACTCGGTTTACCGAACGGTTTGAAACGTTATAACGCGAATAGGGACACTATAAGGAAGGTCCTGAAACTCATGAAATTTCAATTCCTTATAAATTTGTTTGTAGGTATTTTAAAAATAGATTATAAAAAATGAAATTTCGCGAGTTTCAGGACCTACCTTAGGGTCTCCATGTTCACGTTTTAAAGTATGAAACGATTTGAGACACCCAGTTCGTAGAAAAGTTTTATGAACGATTGAGCTTTCGGATGCCACTTTCACATCTCCTTAAGGTGATGTGACCGTCGATGAGGTTTTGTTTATAAAACTTTTCTCTCAACTTGGTTTACCGAATAGTTTGAAACGTTACAACGTGCATAGAGAGACTATAAGGAAGATCCTGAAACTCATAAAATGTCAATTCTTTTCAAATTTCTTTATAGGTATTTTAAAAATAGATTATAAAAAATGAAATTTCGCGAGTTTCAGGACCTACCTTAGGGTCTCCATGTTCACGTTTTAAAGTATGAAACGATTTGAGACACCCAGTTCGTAGAAAAGTTTTATGAACGATTGAGCTTTTGGATTCTACTTTCACATCTCCTTAAGGTGATGTGACCGTCGATGAGGTTTTGTTTATAAAACTTTTCTCTCAACTTGGTTTACCGAATAGTTTGAAACGTTACAACGTGCATAGAGAGACTATAAGGAAGATCCTGAAACTCATAAAATGTCAATTCTTTTCAAATTTCTTTATAGGTATTTTAAAAATAGATTATAAAAAATGAAATTTCGCGAGTTTCAGAACCTACCTTAGCGTCTCCATATTCACGTTTTAAAGTATGAAACGATTTGAGACACCCAGTTCGTAGAAAAGTTTTATGAACGATTGAGCTTTCGGATGCCACTTTCACATTCTCTTAAGGAGGTCCGAGACGAACTCTTTAACAGGTAAACTTCCCGACATTGCAGTTCATCCCCATTATTTAAAACTGTCTAAATTTTGTATACATGAATGCAAAGAAAGGGACCACTTGTTAATGGAAAAAAATACAGCTCAATGAGTCCATTTTTATATGAAAACCTTTTTCTTACTTCTACGTCTGATCCGAAAAGTTATAAATTACCCATGTTTTAAGTGACATACTTTTTAATATTTTTTCTGAGAGCTGGGATCTAAAACTCATTCCATATATACGATATTATAGTTATTACAAAGTATACATTTTTACAAATGACAAAATACCTTAACAAAATACCAGAAAATACCCAAAATACCCCAAAATACCCAAAATACCCCAAAATACCCAAAATACCCAAAACACAAAATACCAGAAAAATCAGTTAATATGTTACTTTTGCTTTGTTTGGAACATGAAACAATTTGAAAAGAGAATGTATCTTAAATATTTTTTATAAGTTTAAGGTACCTAAGTTGGGATTTTCCATCCTTCAGTTAATATGGCGCAACGATAACGCCCCATTAAATCCAGCTCGCATGTGCGTTTCCACAAGAAAACCTCGGTCGGTAATGCGAGCACCCGACGCCTCCTCGTCGATAATTTATCCGTCCTTCGAGGCAACTAATAATTATCAGTTATTAATGCCTTGGAGCTCCAAACTCGAAAACGACGTTATCGCCATAGGCAGTGCTCTTATCGTCATTGTCAAGTGCAGCGGGGTCTCGCATAAATACGTAATATTCCGACGAGTGTTCGAAGCAGCTCTTAACCAAAGTAAGATTTCATCGGTACGCCGAAAGAAAGCGCGGTAAAGTCACCTGATAGCCGATCTCTTATCACCTCGCAAAAACATGTCCAATTGTTTGAATAACTTCTGAACTCATCTTCCTCGTTCGGTTTCATACATTTCTCATGATAAATAGCACCTCCAAGAACGACTCTTGATTTAATCATTTAGATCATTCACTCCCTTATACTCTAGTCGGAGACACTCTAGTTTATGCAATTTACCATTTCTGTTTTTTACACGCCCTTCAGAAGAAATCAATACCCTTCGTTATTACGCAGCTAAATATTGCCCAATACCTGTATGATTAACGAATCTCCCGTCAAAACAATTCATTGTATCTATATCGTACCTAGAACAAATGGTAATATACTAATGATGCAACGACCTCATTTACTTTAACGTTGATGTTGATTATCTTATTAACAGCTTTAAGTGAAAAAGCGTTATAGAAACCGTGGAATAGTAATTGTCATTGCATTTCAATTTGAAACATTTCATAGCACTATTTTATAGAATTTAATTTTTTCATGACTTGAAGGGTACATAGGCGTTAGAGGAGATGTACTTAGTTATTTAAAAATGATATTGAATGTAATCTCACTCAGACCGTACCGCACTGTTTGCACTTATTTTTCAATGTAATACTTTGACTGCAACGAACAAGAAGATTAAATAAATTGAAATTGAAATAAAATATAGAAATTTACAGAGTGTCCTATTTTAATCAATCTAGGCTAACATTTCGTAACCTGTGGGAGATATTAAAGAATAAATCAGTAAAAAGTAGCAGAGTTTGAAGGGGGGAAAAAAAATGCAAGTCATGATTTTTACGGGAAGGTCATTTTTCGAGGTCATTTCAAGGTCAACTTAATTCTTTTCAAATGGAAAGGACTATTTTTGATATCGGCAAATAGGTGCTATTTTCTTATATTGAATTTTCAAATTACAGAAAGTAATAAACTTCACTACAAAACAAGAAAAAGAGGATTGAATAAATTCACCTCCTATTACAGTTTCAGTGTTTTATTTTTAATAAATAAACAACGTTGCCGAGAATTGTGTTAAGCACCAACAAAAGCGTAGGATACGATTAGGATCGTATGATAAAATTGAGAATGATATGAAGTAAAAAATAAAAAGTTGTTAAACATTGGTCAATTTACCCCGTAAGACAACTTGTCTCCTCGATGTATTGTTTGAGTCACATGTGGTATAAAAATAATTAAAGGATCATACGTATGGAATGGAAGAGACATGGCTCTTTCACGGGCGTTGGTTATTGCTTAAGGTGGTACATAATTTCATACTCCTAATATTTTTTCCTTTCAGTTTTAGAATGTAATGCATCAAACGATAACTATACAGGGCATAATGGGAACATCGCCGCGCACGTGATTCGCGTTTCTCGATAGAGCAGAAACGTTTTACGTGAAAATTCACGGGTGCGTACCACAATGACATCCTAACTTGTGACTCTCAACTTTTACCCGATGAGGGGACGTAAACAAAATACCCGACACGGGACACCGTACTGTGCAGCTCTATCGAGATTTATCAACCAACACCTCCTCGTGGTGGAACGCGAGCTTACTGCGCCATGATGCTTCATGGTGAGCGGCCAAACTGGACAAGAGTAACTATATGCACGCGAATGTAACACGAGAGGACCAAAAGGGAACACCTCTGATGAATGATCCTTCCATGAAGCCAAAGGACGTAGAAATTGAACGAACGCTGATAATACGGGGATTAAGACCTGTTCTGCGCGCATTTGCATAAGCACTAGGGACGATCAACGGGGTGAAATATATAGGCAGCCTGGGGCATCGTGCTTTGAAGTGCCTCAAGTTTGATGCTCATCGATGTTTGGCTCTTGAAATTACATTGTACCTCTAAATAGGATTACAGGTTTGATCCGAGAGCAACGTGTTTAACTTTTTCACATGTAATCACCCCATATCGCTGTTTAGATAACTGCGATCATCTTTTCCTTTCGAGAATAATTCTTTCTCTGTCTTGATATACATTCGAATTTCAGACGTTGGATCTTTTTCAGTAATTTCGCGCTGATATCAACATTTTTAGAAAACAAAAATATCATCGCGCTACATTGGGACGAATACGCAATCATTTTTAAATGAACTATATCTTATCTTGGAATTTCAAACCGATGAGGTCATTTATTGTTCTCAATGTTCTGCAAATCCCAAATGTAGTGTCTAAGATGTGAGAATAGACGTAAGAGTTAAATAAAGTTTAGAAATTCCTCGGGCGAACATTTTCTATCCTTAATATTGTAATCGGTAAAGTTTATATAAAATGTTGGTATCTGTCAAAATAATTGCCCGAAAAAAAAGTTAAATTTTACGATCAGCACTCCACGCTTCTATTTTTAGTCATTTAGGTAGAAACTATTTTATACTTTACAATGCATTTTTAATAACGGGATGTTCGCAGAATTACTTTAATTCTACAAACATTAATTTTGTATTTTTTATTATTGTATCGTCATCGGAACCACGTATTTGAGCAAAATTATCGCCGTCTTTCTTGTGCATTTTTTGTGAGTCAAGTCTAATAATTTCTGATTAGTACCCGTTTAACACTTCCGACACATTTGTAATTTTAACAAGTACTAATCAAAGTAAGAACATTTTATTTTGCTTAAGCAAGTCATCGAGTCGTAAGAGAAAGTTAAAGCATCGCAAATATTTATTATCGTTTAAAAAAATTAATTGTTGCGTATTTATAAATGTACATTTTGTTCCTGTTAATAATGAAAACAATGTTTTTAAACTTGCAACTTATTATTTTCAATTGTATGCGAATTTCGTGCGGACCTATATGCCGTGTCAATTTGCCCCGGGTACAGAGCAAGTTGTCCCACCACGCCGGCGTGCTTAAATAATTTTTTCTTTAATCTTGTGAAAAAGATTAAATAATCTAGGACTGCAACTATTGTACCTGAACGTATGCCCAACATTTTGATGTATAGCACGTTCGAAAATTCTCATTACCTCACTCACAATGAAACATAATCAAAAAAGTTGGTCAACTTGCCCCGGTCTCCCTTACACTGTAAAATATAACAATTTGCCCCATAATGAGGCAAATTGTATTAAAAATATCTATAAATACGACAAAAAACGACAAAAATTGTCGTTAAATACAAGGAAGATGTATAGGCAACTTGATTAGAATATTCTTTCCGGAAGTCAGTACCACTGCTTAATCACCCTATGAAAAACTGACTTTGTGGACATTGAAATACATATAAAAAGTGATGTAACACAAATTCTTCCAATGCATTTTTAACCAAACTACATGCGGAAGATATTCCGTGACTAGGTTAAGAGATGTATTGAGGTGGCGGCGTTGCACGTAGCGAAAGCTTTCTCATTGTAACACCTTACTCCTTGTAAGAACTGCAACTACCCTTGTAAGAACTACAACTTTCCCCTGCCCATGCCCCCCTTTCAGGATATTCACTTTTTTTTTTTTTTTTTTGGAGTACGCGTCGCGGCATCTTACACAACAAGGATATACCGAGAAAATCCTAACGTTCAGAGAGCATACATTACGTGTTTTATGGATATCGCATCTATCGCGCATGGCGTTTGCCTGGAGCGCCACGTGCCGTACACTCGACCCTGAACCGATCATAGAGAACAAACGTAAAGCGGCTTACACATAAGCATTGTCGTTACGTTCTTATTGGTCGATTGCTTATGCTTACATTTATGCAAATCTCCGTGCACCGACTCTAACCGAATAGTCGTCATAATTTTTGAAGCTGCATTCCAAAGGAACGTTTCGACCGAATGCAAATGCAGGGAGCTCGATTCTCGAGAAAATAAGTATCTCGAATTAAAGGCAATTGCGAATTGCTCAGCTGCATGAATAACGTCTGTGGACGTTCTGCCGAATTGAAACGCTTTGGTTAAAAAATGGCATCCTGGCGAAGATCTGACGATTAACGCATCAGGTGCGTAAAGCTGGCACCCCACCTTTACAAAATTCAAATTTCTTTGTCTTAACATTTTGTGCTCTTTATGTGCTAATTATGTGCTACGTTTGCAAATTTTGTGCTAGCTCGGTTTTTGGAAAAAAATTCAATTTTTCTGTGGGGGTGCTGGGTACTAATAAAGCTAGCACCCCCACCATTAAAAAATGTGTTTAAATAATCAAAAATAGGTGAAAACTTATCAGCAAATTATGTGCTCTCCGAAAATCATATTCATAAATTAAAATTTTACGCATCTGAACTCATCGGGTGCTCCCGATACATTTTGACCGGTAAATTGTACAAGTGTGCCCACCTGTGGACAATGGACGTGTCAAGTAATTCTCAAGAAACGTCAAATACAGTGGACCCCCGTATAACGGTTCAATTCAAAGATAGGTTTAAATATGCATATACGCATCATAGTTATGCGCACCTCATATCAGAGCCTTCGATAATTGTATATTGATCGAAATACAAGAGCTCGACGCCATTTTGGTTCTGGTGTGGGCTGAGTTAAAAAATTTGTTCCAAAAATCCAAATTTTGAATGTGTCAGGACAATTCTTAGATGATCAGGAGTTATGTGACAAAGTTTCGGACAGTTTGGTCTAAAACCCTTAAAAAAAAGTATTGTATTCGAATCGACTGATTTGAAGAGAGTTTCACTTCACCTTAAGAGTTATACGGGGGTTTACTGACTTGTTTTAATCAATTTTCGGACAGAGACGGGTTGAAATGTTAGCTAGTCATATGTGGTCGAAAACTAAAAATACACGTGACTGAGATTAATTCATCGTCGACAATCAATAGTTTCAAAACAATCTCGAGTGCTCTTTTTGGCTCTTTTCCAAATGACTCTGAACGATAGAATTTCATTTAGAAATTTTTTTATAATAGAATCATTTATACGCGATAATGACCTAGATATTTTACGATACTTGAAACATTAGTGTTCATCGCTTAACAATATTCATAATCAAGTGAAATAAACCCTCTTTGTATACGTTTAATCGAATCGCGAACGAGATTCGCAGGTAAATCGATCGCGTTACATATGTAACGCTTTCGTTGTACAAAGTGCACGCTCACAAGGAAGATATAAATCAAGAACAGCGCAATTTCAGGCTTGATTAATATTCCATGTCGTTATGATTAATGTTTCGATAGTTAAATAAGATTATTTCATTTGCAGTCGGGTTCTTCGAGTTCTCTGCCAGAGATTCGATGAAAAGCCACCCTACCGGCCGAGCGCGGAACTTCAAGGAGCGCCGAGGTATTTCGGTGGCACTGCCGCTCGAAATACCGGACGCCAGAGAATTTATCGCGGATTCTTTGGACAAATTTAGCTCATGGAAACACACATTAACAACAAGAAAACACGCCTCACCCGTTCGTCGAGAAACCGTCGGGATTTAATAACCACAGAAGAAGAGCAACGAACGTTCTCACGTGAAGAAAAATATAATCTGGCGTATCATATGATGCAATTGCGTGACGCAATATACATTAACATTGAGTATATACGTAGAAAAACATCTCTTCCTGCCTACCCAAGCTTCGTTTAATCTTTATTCTTTGAGTTTTTTGTTTCTTTTTTTATATCTTTCAAGGACTACTTTGCAATACCAAATATTACATTTAATTCTGAATACGTGCGAATGTAGGAAGTCCACCCGAATAATTTTTCTTCTGGTAACAGTTCTTTGTAGAAACTGATGACAGGCAAAACATGTTATTTCCCCCGCAGCAACAAGATCGTGCGTACCTTACGAAATCTTATTCTTTAAAACGTATCGTTGCTAATAAGAGATTACACCGCGTCGCGACGTACACAAATACAGTCGATAGATTTAACACTAGAACTACCAAGACCGGTCAAAATGACTGGTTTCAACTGGCCCATCGTATAAAAAAAAATCCACCGGTAGTTCTAATGTTAAAACGATAACAGTGTTCAATTCTAATGACTGGCGACCCGAATATCCGTAGTTATCACCGTCCATATCACATTGTATAGTTATACATACGTATCAGGGGGGCCGGAAAGTAATGTCGTTTCTGCGCATTGAATTTAATGTAAGAAAACGACATTACTTTCCGGCCCCCCTAATAGGTACTACCGTTTTGATTCCTAATCGTCGACGTCTTTTTAATCAATACGTCTGCTCTTTTACGCAAGTCTGGGATGTTTTAATTACACGATAAATTTACAGTGCCGGGTCGGGCGTCGTGGGATTTCGGACCTCATAATTGGCAATCATAATTGCGTCCACGCAAATGACGTTAACGGTCGCGTCGCAAGATGCGGCGACGAAGCGGCAAAACCGGCGTAAAGAGAACGGAAACGAATCGGTGAGAAGCAGATGGATTAAATTTCGAGAGGGGGTGGAGGCGCAAAGGGTCGATACTCGAAGGGATCGCTTGAGCTACTCGCCACGAGTGCTGCGGCGCCGCTAGCGCCTCGACAACAGCGAATAACGGAATCCGTGTCGACGCCTCTCTGACGTCACTCCACCGTGCGTATCATGTCCACCGAGATTCAAGGGCCGGGTTTATAACCAACGAAAAATTAACTTTGCAAGCGCCATTCCTTAATTGCGGCGACCTAAACATTTCTTGCCAACGAAATTCTTTGACCCTAATCAAATTAATTTTGTAGGAATTATCAGGGCTGCGGCCCAAATTATGGCAATTACGACCGAAAGGTAAACCAAGAAGATGTCACAGAATGTACCGCGAAAGTGGACAACGGCGAAATTACCGATACGTTCTGCTGGAATCCTGCTCATAAAGTAACATCCGCGACAATCTGATGTCACTGCAATATGTGACGTTTGGCTTTCCGGAATTTATAAGCAGACATTGGCATTGGACTGAACTGTTCCTCGTTATTGTAATTATCGGGCTGTACGTGCAATTCTATGGAGGGAGGACTAAAGGGTTACGTAATGACTATGGAAAAAAATACTTAAGCCGTCTTAACGGAATGTCCAATAATAAATCTAACAAGATTCTACAGATATATTAAATCTTGTATACCTACTGACACTCGCGAGATCAGATAAGATACTCCAAGGTATTCTAATGAGTACGTAAAAATAAACAATTTCTCTTAAACGTTAATTAACGATGAAATTTATCTTTCCGAATTTGGATATTTTTACATTTCACTTTTTTGGGTACAAGCAGGAGAGACGTGTAATCTCAGTAATAACGAAGAGAGTACATTGAAATATATCCGACTACTAGTCTATTGACTCGTACCTTCTCGTACAATTAATTAAGTACATTGACTTTTTCATTTGACTGTTTTGTTCTTATCATCTAAATGTTTTTGCACCGGAATTTATCTTAACGTTTCATAGCTACGTAACGTAGAATAATTTTCTTAAAGCGAGCAAAACTACTTCGTGAGAACTTTGACGCCAATTATTTCATCATATTTCTATAATCCAACAAAGTGCACGATGTAGCCTTATGTTATTCGCGTTAATAGTACCGTTTCCCTCTTTCACCTTATTTAACGTTCGTGCGATATTAAATCATATTTAACTCGCTAGATTGAATTATCATCGAGCGCTATCCATACAATATTGTTATAAATTTTCTCTCCATCGGTGTCCTTAATATCGAAAAGGTCAGAGTCAACCGGAGAGGATAAATTAATTGAAGATGACGGCGACATCAGGCTGAGACTTTAAACAAACTACTACCGTTCTAGATTCTCTCACAAAGGATATAACGCCCGATAACGAAAATCCGAGGCAACGTAATTTATAACTTGAGCTCAAACAATTTCCCGCATTTTTCTTTTTCATTATTTCGCGTGAAATTAAAAATGAATTCTGAAAACTGCACAAAACTAATCACAATATTCCATGTACGTATTTAATTAATCTCCAGGCCTAAACGAATTTTCCTTTTTAATTCTAAATATTTGACAAATTTCCGTTCTCACTAACAACGGCAAAATAATTAAAGGAGCTAATATTTAATTAATCTCCAAGCCTCAACGAATTTTCCTTTTTAATTCTAAATATTTGACAAATTTCCGTTCTCACTAACAGTGGCAAAATAATTAAAGGAGCTACGTAAATACGGTATTGTCGTATATTTATTGATACTAATCACTCGAATATATATATGCGTTGCTTTCCAAGAAGAAATATTAATTGATACGGAGGCATCTCTCTGGGCACAGGGACCGATGGGAAAGAGGAAAAGGGAGGACTCTTGAAGGTTCCTGAGCATCCATATAGAGGTGAGCCAGCTGTGCGCCGTTATCTCGCATCCTTCTCTAACCGACGAAGCGCTGCATTAACTGTCGCAGAGGAGTGCGGTCGAGCGGCTGACTCCCCTAAAGGACCGTTCACACTGGACCCGGCACACGATCCTCGAAAGGGGACACGCGTGTTTTACGGAGACTTTCACCTTGTCGCTAACCGGACGGAAGTTAAGCTCGTTTAAAAGAAGTATGCCAAGTGTTAGGGGGTGTATCCGTTCAATGGTTGGGAGCTTCATTGCGTATCAAAATTATCACGTATTTGGATAATTATCGTTACATGATTGTTCGTCCGAAATAAACACTGGCTATAGAATATTCTGAATCGGCAAATAATACCTAATCGTGCCTGTAAGCGGACAAAATCAAACAATAAAAAACACTGAAATAGTATTAGGAACTCGCAGGATAAAAAAAGTGTTACGTTCTTACATTTTTCGCGGTAGGAAACAAGAAACTTAACGTAGTCAGATAATATTATTCAGAGTGACTTTAATAAATTAAATCGATTCAAACCCTACGTATGGCATGTCTAAAGCTCTATTTATAGATAAATAATATACGGATAAACATTTAAGGCACATATCGTATGTACTTGTATTGGTTAAATGTCCCAAAAAACATTTCCTCTATTTCCCCATTATTACAATGTATATATTGATGTCATTTAAGTCTTTTAAAGAAATTGTATGATTAAAGTAAACGATATAAGCGTATTTTGCTACGCCGTTGAAGATATGGATTATTCAAATTTAATTGACGTAGTTGCTTCAGAATTGTTGCGCTAGTTATGTTAAAATCATTCGAAGTTAAGTTATGGAATCAAATACGATTTCGATCGTAGCCAGGGTGAAACGGTGTGAACGGACCCGTAGGACGTATCTCGACGTTAGAAATCCGTCGGTGAAAGTGTTTAGCCTGCAACAGTACTTGACTGCTTGGTGCGCCATAGCGGCTTTACTAGAATGTCGAATGCATGGTTCGAGTACACGAGATGCCTTCTGTACATCCATTACCCATTCTTAAGAGCTGCTAATTGATATCCAGTGATTTGGACTGCCATGCAAAAATATCATTTTGACCCTCGTTATTCAACATTTGTTTACATTTATCCCCCTTTTGTATAAACACACGTGTATGCATTAGTACAATAGTGACGACGTCAGTAAAATGAAATTTTGGACATTGAAATTTTCACACTGTGGTTATTTTTAATAGAAACGTCAAACATTTGAACGTACTTCGGGAAGCAACGTGCTTCAATGTAGAAGATAACATGTAAAAAGAAAAGAAAACTTATAACTTCGTTACATGTCATTAGCGCGTCATACTTGTTATGGATAGTTTTAATGAAACGCTACGAGACAGTTTATATCGAGTTTGATATCGCATCGTGATCATATCAGAGAAAAACTGAAATAAAAACGAATCTATCAGAAGATTTTTTATTTTAAAACGAAGTAATTTAAACCTATCGCTAATTGAATAAGATCGTTCTGAATAGAATAGTGAACTTGTAAATAAATTCCATGTTAAAAAATACAGATCGATTTATCTCTGTTAGGTTACGTTACCGTCCTGGTCAGAGCAGAGAATAATAAACGAACAACCCAAGAATTGACGGATCGAGCACTTGTTAATTACGTCGAAGATTACCCACAGTGTGGCTCACTTATCCGAGTTATATTATCTCGAGAATCCATCATAAGTGGAAGTACCTGTCAATACTGGCTTAACGGCGTGAAATTAATCTCTAGTGACGCTGACATATTTAGAGATTTCCATACTCTTATTATTTCCATTTATTATGTAACTTTTTTTTAATACACCGGAACGTATACTCAATTATATATAAAAAATAAAAAGTTACATATCTATGATTTGTCATTAATTACGTTAGCTAATCTAATTTTTTGCTATTAAAAACTCAAAGTAACTACCTACGTGTAAACCCAAAATAGTTAACGGCTTCAATGATGAAAATACTAACGTTGGATAAAATTCTAATTTCCAAAAATGATGTTTGCCAATTCTTAACAAATTCCAACTATTCTAAAATATATCTTTTTTGGGAAAAATCAAGAATGCCTCGTATTGCTTATAGAATATTTTTCTACATTCCCTACATGTCTTT